AGGACCCCAAAGCGCTTTACATATCCAGTCATCCACCCATTCACACACACATTCACACACTGGTGATGGCAAGCTACATTGTAGCCACAGCCACCCGCTCAGCTTTCAGTCATTAGACCGAGTGTAAAATGGGAAGTCAGCTTGTGACTGTTTGAATGTAAAGAGAGCCTTTGAGTTTGAATACCAATTCTGTCCACAACAAAAGCCCAGCCAGGCCACCCTAATCTCTCTCCTGGATAAGAAATGGTGCCAATCACCAAGAAGCTTAGTACCTCAGTTAATTAATCACTGTTACGCTCGAGCAGACATGGCTGTCATATTCATTACTCTGTCCTTCTCTTTGCTTCCTATTTAGGAAGCACTTACATCTGTTTATACCCCAGCCGAGCAGACTGCAAGATTAAGAAGTTAGTTTTAGCTGCTGAAACATACTTAATTTACTTTTTCAAGAGTGCCTAGAAAAACAAGTGAGACTATATTTGCCAAAGATAGAATAAATAATTTGCCTATGCACCACTAAATGAATGAACAAGGACCAAAAGGTCTTCCCTTTGAGACGCTTTTGCAGTAAAGCATCTTACAGGAATTTTTCATGCTCTGTGCTCAAGCAAATTTGCAAAATTTAAGTGTGACTTTCAAGATAGGAATCGTGTTTTCATTATCTAAGCAGGATCAGATCTAACAAGACCTAGGAGCTAGTTATAGCTTGATGATTTTGATAATTATGGCATTTGACTCATTACATTCCCATTTTAAAAGATTTTCTGGTATTTGTACCCTTATCAACGGGAAAGAAAAATACTCCAAATTAAAATGTATGAAATGGTTACTCTAACACTTGAAGTTAAAAGCACATTATGTGCAGTTTTGATTGAAATGGGGGGATGATGATGCCATTACTAATAAACGCCATCTTTTGAAACAGATCGTAACTTTAGAAGCAAGTTTGCAAATGCTTTTTTCTCCAATAAGCTCAGTGTTATGTGATTGCACACTCATACACATACATTTATCTTTTCTTTAAATAGCTTTGATATTATGTCAGAACAGACTGAAACTACGCCCTTGTCTGGAAGATAGTGAGGGCTAATGTTACAGAAAGGATTGACCCGCTTGACAGAGATTCATGTGGTTAAGCTACGGTTACACAGGCTCTGAAACAGTCTCCTTCTCTCATTGAACTGACCTTGCTTTTCGCCATCGCACAGCTTGAGTGGCATTCACACCATTGTTTAGATATCCAGATGCGATGGGGCCCTCACATACAGCCCCACATTTCATTTACAGCCACTTTTTTCTATGCAAAAAAACTCCACATGTGAGGAAAAGCTATAATCTTCAAGGACAAACCTAGCACAGCAAACAGTCGAGGGATATCGCCCCTTTTTTATGTCAACCAGTCTGCTGGCACCTGAGGGATTGCTGCTTGGTCCCAAAGGGATTTAGCAACCGCCAGGCAACATTTTGAACATAATAGCTTCCTGAGACCGGCTTGTTTATTCTGTGTTTACATTTGGAAAACAGTGAATATAGGACGTCTTAAATTATTCATTGCTTTGGAATGACGGAGATTCTGAGTTGACATATAGGAATTAAGAAGTGAGGATATTATGTGTTATAATATGTGTACAATGTATGCGTCAATAGCATTTTTAATGTCAGCAGCCTTACTGCAAAAGTTCTAAACTCACAAAATACTCAACAAAACATGCAAAAATCTTAGTTGTCACACATGTATCCGGTTGTTCAGTCTGACGTCACTAGCCGTGTCTGGGTCTAAACTCCGCTGCAGGTCCATATATCAAACGATCACTGTGGCATTACTGAGAGTTGAAAAACTGTCTAAAGTCTTTCATCTTTAATAAAATGATCAGCGTTCTGCTCTACCAGGTGTAACAATTGAGTTTAACATCCAGGCATCCATGAAAACGGAATTTATGACATTTAACGGAGTTAGAAGTTAGCAGGGAGTTAGCTCGCTAGCTTCTATCTAAATACAATATAGCATGTCCTGACTGCGGGGTTTTGGAAACAAATTAAACGTACAGCTCTGTATCACTTCCAGCATAAATGAAGACAGAAAACTAAACAGCAGTGACGTTTGTAGGGTTACTGAAGTTGGGCTAGCTGGTATATAATGATGTGCTACGTGACCGCTAGCGACACAGCTATGTTAGCATAATATAAACAAGCTAACTTTTTTTCCACTCGATAAAAGTTAACGTGAGTGTTCTCGGTGGTCAGGAACAAATGTAATCGCATGGCAGGATGCTGTAAAAGGACCAAACTTCAGCCAGGAGAACAACTGAGATAATCCATCCACAATACGAGGTTAGTCATTCATATACTGCTGCATGGGCTGGGCTGTAGTTACATCCTAAGGTTTTAAAAACTGAGCTTAAATAAATGATTAGCGGTAATAAAAGCCGAGGGAGGTCAACAGGGATCACTGACTGTTTTAGGAGCTTTTTGAGATCAAATAGAAGAAAATACAAACATTAAACATGTTAACAACACAAAAGCCATATTAAACGCAGACTACTTTAGGCCCGGAAGTAGGATTCGTCGCGTCATCACTGAACAACCGGATTTTCTCCCCTCAAAAGTTGGAGAGTAGCAACTGTGTAATCCACCAAATGCGCTGCTATCGTTGTTAACCTGATTATTGTGAAGGCAGAAAACAATTTCAATAACTGCAATTTTCCAATAATGACAAAAAATAGAAAAATAGAAAAAACAAAAATTTGCAGATGATTTTTTTTCATGCCAAATATCCCTAGGCTTCTATGTGCCCTACTAAAAATTCACTTCTTCAGTAGTTTGAAAGGTAATGCTGAAGTAAGTTGAAAGTTTAAAAAAAAATTCTTTAAGTAAAATTATTCCTCAATTTCATAAAAGACAGTAACTTATATAGTTGTCTAAAATAACAGTTAATAGCAAGCAATACAATATTATGATTTATAATCTGCAATCAGATCCACAACGAAGCATATGACATTTTATACATTTTGTATACATTATCAAATTTTGATACCATCTGTCTGCCTCAGAAGGATGATTGTGACTTGAACAGCAAGAGTGCAGAGTTGTGAATCTGAAAAACACACCATGACATGTGCAGTGTCTCTGAAGTGCTGCTAATGACAAGCTCCCATGAACTGGATATTAACGCAGAGCTCATTAGCAGCTGCAAGAACAAGGTCCAGCATATTTATATTAAGCATTGCTCAGCAGTAAGCAGTGCCCTGCTGTCAACATGCATTATTTCCATGCCAAGCCCTTGGACAAGCGTAAAAATAGTCTCAGATCAATTTTTGGGGGCTGTAGTCCTGTTCTATAGATAATGGAAAGGGTTTGTGGGAAATTTGGTCTTAATATTGAACATTTTTTATTGCTGTGTGTGAGTGTGTGTTTTGACATGAGTATACATATGTGGTGGGTTGGATGTGTAAGATATGTTAGCACTTTTCCTGTACTTGCTGCTCAGGCATATTCTTGGTTTTCATGCCTATTTATTTGAACACCTACATGCAGAGTCACTCTCGGTTTATCTGCCTTCCTCATTTTCTCTCTCTGCTGCCTGGAGATAAAGATAAGCTGATTAAGTGGGCCACATTGTGTATGACTGGTTAAATGATTTTGATTTCTATACTGTGGCAAATTGATTTTGGATTTCCATATTTGGGTGTGATGGCTTGTAAGATAAGCATTCTTTCTCTTTTAGCTAGACACTGTAACATTGAATCACCTACGTCGCTGGCCATGTGAGCATGTGTGTGGATCTCGGGAGGTGTTGATAAAGATGTGTAGTGAATATGGGTGGCATTGCTGTCCTTCTTATGTTGGCACTTGGCATCTCAGGGGTGCAGCATTCTGTCCTCTCGCTAAGCACACACACACACACACACACACTGTTCTCACATCTCTAACACTGTTATGTGTGAGACGCTGTTTTAAAGTGTCACTGCTTTTGTCACCTAATGAGACCAGTGTGCAGAGGCAAAGGCCTCTCCTACTACTATCCTGCATTTCACTTGCGTGATGTGCTACAGTCAGTAAGCCAATATGCAAGAAATTATGCAAAATTTTATTATATTGTAAATATGCAAATAATGTTTTTGTTTGGTGTCTGATCATAAAATCATTATATCCTGTCCTGAAAAACAGATGATTTGTAGCGCCTGCTACCACTTTTGTTATGTGCATCATTTCAATTTCATGCTAGTATTCTGCCCACAGAAGGATGTTTGTGATTGGAATGCACATTACCAGCTTATCCTTAAAGTAACAGATTGTCAGAGATGCCTGGTTTTATGTTAGGTCTGTCCGTTCTCTCATTATTTGACTGCAGTGCACTCTTTTCCCCAGTAGAGAGAGCTCAAGTGAGTTCCCACTTTTCTCACTGAGAGTGCACATATGCTGTAGTTTGTGGAGTTGCGGGGCTTGGTGTCCAGTCACTTTGACTCATTTGCCTTACTTCTATTATCCTGTTACTTCACATAAATAATTAAAGTTTCAGGCTGGATTTTGCTTTCATTCCATGCAATAAATCATCCTGATCTTTCAAATGTGACAGTTCTTACATGCAGATCCTGGTAAAGACTTGGAGGGGAAAAGCAGCAGTTCCTCAGTTAGTGGAGGATGGTCATGGTAGTGAGTCAGTGCTTTTTGGTCTCTGTGCATCATTACATCATTGTCTTTTTCTCTTGTACTCTTATAGTACTCTTTATCAAACATTTTTTGGCATTTTCTCTCATTAGTGATTAAAACAATGAGATTTAATACAGGTTTCATCAGATGGGTTGGGAATATTACAGCAAGCGTTCCAAATTATTCAGATTGTCTTCAAAATAGTCAAACCTGCCAATGACTAGATGCACTGGCAGGTGCTTATTGTTGTGACATTAGCAGATGTGTTTTGAAGAGGTTCATTTCCCTTCTTTAGCCTTGTTAGGGCACCTAATCCAAATGTTATTTTCTATCAAATCCACTTAATAGTTGAGCGGAAGCAGAGCTGTCTCCTTCCCTCCATTTCCATCTTTGTGTGATGTACCGTGATGCTCTGACATAAGTTCTCATGGGAGCCTTTCTTCTCTCCTCCCCCTTCAAGTTAAAACGCTGGAAGAAACAGCACTTTATGAAGGTCACACACTTTTAAATGCATGTGTACACACACACACACACACACTCATGCACGCACGCACACACACGCACAAACAAGCACAGTGTTAGAAAAAAGGCATGTGAGATGAAGGGAGTGGCACTCAACTGTAGAAGGCTGTCTACTGAAAATATGACTGATCTTTTCACCTGATTGATTTGCCCTTTGCACAGGCGTGTACTTGGTATTACTTCAGCGTCTTAGACTTGTGATTTTTGCCAAGACCCTCTATACACCTAGCAATCTTCAAAACTCTTTTAGCATTTTCAAAAACATCATTCTGATGGGAAAAACATTTTTAATTATATATTGTGAGGAAATATGAATTATTTTATTCTATGTCTCTACCCCTCTTTCTCCACAGTACATTAGAAACGACCTTTGACACGACAGTAACCACTGAGGTGAATGGGCGGAGTATACCTGCCCTCGCTGCACGCTCCTCCCCCATGTCCTGGCGTCTGGGCCAATCACAAACCCCGCGTCTCCAGGCAGGTGACGCCCCCTCGATGCCCAGTGGCTACGCTGCGCCCAGGGCGAGCACAACAGGCGCAGGCACCACCACAGGGCGCTATAGTGGGCACTCAGACCCCTCCAGGTTTGTGTACATTTAAGTAGTAAGCCTGTGGCTATTTTTTTCTCATTTTCAGTCTTTAAGACACGACACGAGTAACCCTCCCCCAAAAAATGTTGACCAGTGCAGGACAGTGTTTTGAATATTTATCTTAGGGCTATTTGTGATTTCAGTAACTGAATGAATTTTTGATGTTTATAGTCAAAATAAGTTGAATTGGTTTTAGCTGATCCCTCTGTGCCACGCTGTGGTGTGAAACAGCATTCTGTTTAGTTTTGCCTCCTACATTTATTCCTCCCTCTGAATAATGTAGCTCTCAGCCTTTTTATGCACTGAACACAGAGTTCGTAGATTTTAAACATGTTGCACCACCATGTAATCCATGTAAATTAAATACATAACTATGCTTTGCTGTATAAAGAAGAAATATCTTTGTGCACAATATCACTACCACATCATTTATACTCAGTAAAAGTCCACTTTAAAGGTCATTTGTTTGCTAACATGTGACAGATTTCCATTTCAGTGTGCAGAAATTCATGCTTAGTTTGTATTCATACAGTCACCAAGGCCTTACCTGCCTTTCTCTGCACATTAATACCAATAGCTTACTGTCATACAGCAAGGCTATGTATACTTTTTCATAGTAAAACCACACACAGGATGTTTCAAGTAATACATTTATGTGAACCTTGAGAGGACTCACGACACTGACAGATTACCTGAGTGAGAATGGATGAGTTTGTGTCTTCTGCAAGTCATTACAGCAGCAGGCTTCTGACCTTCATTCGCTCAATAGCAATAAATGACTTAAGCACGTAGGAGAAAAGGCTTTTCACATTTCACCCACACAATCATGTGAGCACACACTCCTAATAGAAGATATGCTGTAAAGAGAAAACTGTGAGGGAATGGTAAGGATGAGGTGTGATGTAGCAAGGTATCTGCAAGATTAAAGAAGAAGAACAGAGCAGAAAATGTAACAACATGTTGGGAGGGAAAGGTGATTAGCTGAATTATTAGCTTAATTAACTCAGTGCTAATGGCCCCCGTGTTCTACCAGCCGTGTCTGATAGCTATCTGGAAGTTGCCTCACATCTTACCGCTCGTTCACTGTCAGGTACACAGAGACACAAACTCGCTTCTCTATACCGACTTTCCAAAATCCACACACAGTCTTCATGTTCATTATTCAGATTAGCCATCAGACAGCCAAGGTAGCATCTTCCTTTATGTTTAGTTGACATAATTTGCTTCTTCTTCACTTAAACAAAGACCTTAAAGTGTAAGAGCCACGAGTTAAAAAAGAATAACTTTCTAAAGCAAACTGAAGTTAAACGTTTATACCTGTAATTTGTTCTCCCCTCACAGATACCTTACAGATGGCAGCCTTCATCTGTATGCACGGAACACCGGCCGAGCCTCAGATGCAGCTTCTTCTCGAGACGTATCCCAAAGAGGAAGCAAAGAGATGCAGGGTGACATTGACAGGTGAGGATGGAGACTGTCATAGCTGCCTGTTTTTCTGGTGCCTGTTTGATTCATTTGTGGTCCACACCCGGGAGTAGCTCCGGTTTCACACTTTTTGAGATTCATGCAAGTACGTTGTTAATATTCAAATTTGAACACAGCTTTTCACATTCCACTTTTGATTGTTGGCTTTTAGCTGATGTTTTCCTCTCCCGAGCATCTGGCTGTGAATTTGATAGCTTCGTTGTCATTCATTTTCAACCATAGCCAGGTGGGTGTTTGCTAAGACAAACCCACTGGACTGTGCTTTGCAGCCAGTGATGCATGTGCGTGTGAAAAAAAGCAATGTGCTGTGGTCAGAATGGCAGAAAGGTTGGCACCATAGCAACTGCAGCCATATCATATTATACCTGATTGTATCTGTCGGTCAAAGCATTCAGCACAATGAGCATTATGGAGCTAAAAAGCATGAATATCTGGGTATATTACCCAAAACAATTAAAGATATTAGATATCAGTACAAAGTTATTAAAGCTAAAGGAATATATAGGCTTTTTAGGATACAAACCTAATAGGATACAAAGTCCAGAGAATGGACAAGTGACTAAGGCTACGTCCACACGAGCCCGGATAGATTTGAAAACGTCATTTACGTCTGAAAACGCTCCGCGTCCACACTATCGTTTTCAGTCGTTTTCACAGAGTTGTGCGTCCACATAGAAACAGCCGAAAACGCTTACGTTCCAATCCTGTGCATGCGTGGAATGCAAGAAAATTCGACCTGCCTCATTTCTGTCTGCCATTTATTTACTTTCCGGCTCTTTGAAACGTTGTGGCAAAATGTCATTCCTGGTTTTTAGATGTGCCTGGCATAAAAACAAAGGGTAAGAAGGAAGTAAGAAATATGTCCTTCAAAGGTTATACAAGTCTGCTGTAACACCATCAGAGATTTAAAGGGGCGAAGGAGGGTTGGCGATCGATTTAAAGCTGTCAGGCTAAGATTGTGATGACAAGCCATCAGAGAGACTGCTGGGAATTGACTGATGCAGTGACATTTCCCAGTGTCACAGCTTCAGCTTCTGTCAAGATTTTAATGAGTGGCAGCGTTTAGTAGTCCTGTGATTTTAAAGATTATGATTCTGTTAATGCTACATGTACATGGTTACACTAGGCAGATTTACACAATGTGACGCATGACTTGCAGATACACGGTGATATTTTGCTTGTAATATGTATGTTTTCTGTATATGATTCAGTTGTTTTGCAACCCAGGCAGTTTTTCCATTTCTTGGTTATGTGCTCAGCCTCACAAGCTTGTTTGTTACAAGCCAGTCAGTCAAGCCAGTCAGCCCGAGGTGAGTTTGATCATATCTGTGATTGGCCAAGCGGCAAAACATACTAGTCCTGACCAGAGGTTCAGAATAGGAGATTAACCTGCCCCATCAGTCTCAAACCGATTGACCTATCAGATTTGACACTGAGGCAAAAAGATGTCTTAGGATAAGAATGAAAATGAACCAAGCAAACTGCCAAGGCTCAGCTTCACCCTGCATTTTATCTCTGTATTTAAATATTTTTGCCTAAACTGTCTCTCACCTTTCCTTGACTTAAATCCAAAAATGCTGTGCTCTTTTGAACTAAAGTCAGCAGTAGCACTTTGGGCCTCAGGGGCGATGAGGAAATATTGATGCCCGCAGGCTACAGACTCCCAGAAGGAAAAGAATTTGAACTCTGGAACCCTGTTTACTTCATTCCTTCCTTCCTTTTCCTTTATGAAATCAAGTACATGCAGGCAAGCATATACACAGAAATGCACAAAATGCATGCCTCTCACGTGTTATTGTCAGTAGCTAGGCTGTCACTTCCCACGGACACATGACGAAACTCAGGGGGCAAATCCATTTCTCACTCAGCTCTACATTTCAGCCTGGCTTTACCTCTGTGGTACAGCGTGCTTTTCCATAAAGCCCCTTGGCTTGAAGTGAAATGAGTAGAGGATGAGGCCCAAGTTTAAATAATTTGTTCACTGACTTTAAACAACTTTTTACCTCAGATGTGTAAGCTGGCTTTCTAGGAATGACGAATGCAAGAAAAGTATTTGATCTCGCACGTTTCATGTCCAGCTATCTTGATTATAACTGCTTAGGAGGTGAACATGCTGTATCCATGAAATTCTGCCTGCCCTGTAACTGGCAGCTAGTGTATGATACCTTTCTGTCTCAAATGTCCGTCCAACTGCTCTTTTGTCCAGGTGAACATACTTGGCTTAAATTACTTGGCTTGGTCATAATTTTAGGTGATAATTAGTGCATTGAATGACTGTTAATATTTCTTCTGCATTTATTATCAAAGTGTTAATCAGATTATATTTTTAATTTAATATGATTTCCAAACTATTACACTCTGTTTTCATTTAACACAGCATCCCAATTATGGAGGAGATTGGGTTTTGACTTTGAGAAATTCTTAGATTAGAGTCTGGGATTTAATCCGTCTCTGGCTGATAGTTTGATAGTGTAAGTTTACTTTGGAACAAATTATTTGTTCACAAGAGATAACTGTGCATTTATTGTTCGTGTTTTTTTATCAGCAAGGTAAATAATTTGTGGCCATTAAAATTCCCCCCCTCGTCCTTCTCCTTTGGATTTCCTTTCTGTCATAAGTAATAATTGGAAAACTGCACACACAAGGACACACACTTACACTCATGTCTTTTACACCACCTCAAGCATGAGCACGGATACAAAAATGCACATTACTCTCTCCGCAGTTCTGCTGGCAGCAATAGACAGGGTTCCTCAGAGGCAGAAAGTGGAAGTTGGTCTGTGTACGTAAACTGAGTTCCCACGAGGCTCGTTATGTTTCGTGCTTTTTACAGTCCATAACGGCTCCCCTGGCTGCCATCCATGGCATTTTTATCCCAAACCAACACAGCCCCTCAGGATATGTATCTAAATGACTCATCATGGCTGGCAGGTGACTGAAACCATCTGGGACTAGGACCACGTGGACTTAATGTTTACTGTAGTGGTCATGACATGAGATACTGTATGTGCGCATCTCCATTTCTTTTTAAATGAGCTGTGCCAGTGTGTCTATGTCTTACAAAAAGACAAAAGATTAGAAGAGGAGTTTTATTTTTGAGTGCTTTCATCCTCAGTATTAGGACAGAGCCTAATTTTTAACCAAGTGTCATAGAACAAAGTCAATAAGCGTCACACGTACAGCTGCTTTTGATAGTAACTTTATGGTTTCCTGCAGGTGACATTGTGGTTGGAGATATTTCAGGTTTTCCGCATGTGGATTCCAATCCCACTAAACTAATAATCTGAATACTTTAATAGAATTTCTTTGAGATTAGCACAAGAATTCATTGGGACTGTAGGTGAAGATTTTTTTAGTCAAAGGTCAAGGTCACTGTGGAATTAATTAATGACAATTAATAACATTTTACAGTCAGACAAATTTGGACAAAAGGCGTAAACTGCAACTTGACTGGCTGTCAGAGGCATCCAATCGCAAGGTAGTATTCCAGTGATTTCATCTGTGCTAGAACCGAGTACCCTGGAGCCAACCATCTGCTTGAAAACAGCTGAATGACAAAAGCTCAGATCCCTCTTCTGATCAGTCTGCTTCAAAACAATGCTGAGTTTAGCCTTGGCTAAAAGCACCTGCCTAAAAATACCTTCTTGTTATACAACATAGATGAGCACATGCTCATGGCTCTGCTGTCAAGAAAAGACGCCCAAAGAGAGTGTTTTGACACCAGCAGGCTCCCCGCTCTCAGTAGAGACATGAATAAGTAACAGGGCTTCTCTTTTAGCATCCCGGTGGCTCGAGTGTGTTGCCATCTCTTTCTCGCAGCTGGACTGTGGCAGCTGGCTCTGCGTTTTTTGGTTGTCTAAAGCTTCGGGGGCTTGGAGACAAGTTTATATGTGTTGAAAGTGTGCTGTGGTTGTGTTGTCCATGCTTCACAAAAGAAAGCTTGTTGGTGTACTACATTTAAGTGTATTTAGGTTTGGGTGTATGTGTGTTTGTGTGCATGTACAGACTTCTCCATATGCCGTGTGTGCTGCTGAGCAGCAGGATTCGGCCTGTCACTCCGCGTAGCAGTGACAGTCGCAGAGAAGCCGCTCTACTTGTCTTTGCTGTCGTAAGCAGGGAAGAGATTTAGAGGAGAAGGTTTTTTTACTACCAATGACAAACGCAGTCATTATATAAGTCTCTCTCATTGATCTCTTCCAGGGGCCACCGCTTAGGAAGAATATATTTGTATTGCACCTGAAACTGGAGCGTCTCAAAGCTTCTGCTATCTAAGCTTTCTAAAGTCTTCTGGCAACTGTCAGTTTTTCAGACATTTGTCCTTTTCAGTATTTCCACCTCAGTGCACACCGGCTAAACTTAACAAATTGTGATAATTGGGACATGCTTTATCACTGATTTGAGTACCCAACTGTGTGTATGTTATATTAGATATATTTCCCCTCAAAAATGGGCAAATTGTGGCCCACACAACCAGACTCTAATTAGCCATCTCTTCATTCAAAGATGCTCGAGGGAAAGTTTCCCTGTTTTTGGACGCTCCGTTTTCCTCCTGTTTCCTGTTTCCTGTGTGTGTGTGTGTGTGTGTGTGTGTGTGTGTGTGTGTGTGTGTGTGTGTGTGCGTGTGTGTGTGTGTATGGCAATAATAACTTTTCTGTGTGGAACTTCAGGAAGCACA